ATATGGCTGTTTTTGTCTAAAATTTCATTATGAGGCAAATGACTGTATTTTCACATAATATTAATTATTCCTACTGAAGGACTTAATATCTGTGGATATTACTTGTATTCCAAAGTAAAATGGTGATAAGATGACCAGTACTGAGAAATAATTCCGCTGAATTTCAATACAGATGAAAGGTAATTCTTTGAAACGAAACTTGGGAGAAGATAAAGATAAAACTTGGGAGAAGATAAAGATAACCGATGATATAATTAAAGCAAAACTCATCCTCTTTGCCAGAAAGTTAAAAAGTTACAAAACAAACTCACACAATATTATTCAGGGGATACGTTTTTTCTTTGCATAAAACATTCTAATGGAGCAAGAGATCCAGAACACAAACAAAACTCCATACACAGTACCAAGAAATAATGAGTCCCACAAGGAAACACACAGCAAAGGAAGAGACAGGGATGAAGGATGGATGAGGTGGAAGGGTTGTGTGTATGTGTGTTCGGGCCTTGAATAAAAGAATTTTATGCAGAAGAGAATATTTATCTGAGAAATGAACTGAGGAAGTTATATATGCTAAGTTACCTAGGGAAAGATTTCAAAGGGACTGAACAGATACTACAAAAGACGGACCTCACTTGACACCTTTAAAGAGCATCCAGAAGCACAGTGTAGCACAAAATGTTATGAAGCCAGAGAGAAGCAGTGAATACAGTCAATTTTGCTTCCTTTAATCTACAGAAGTTCTTTCTTGAAAACAACTTCAATTGTACGGTACACAAAATCCATGGTCATTTGCAGCAAGAATTAAAGAAAATAAAATTCCATGAATTTTGTAATTGGAAGCCATATGCAATAGTCCAGGGGAGGACTGAGAGGCAAGCCGTAGTGGTAATGGGGAAGTGATGGAAGCTGACAGACCCCACATATTTTCAAAGGATTTGGGATTGACAGGATACACTGATGGAGCCAATGTGGGGTGTGCAGGAATAGAGGTCACTGGTGACTCCAAGGATCTTGGCTCAAGCATCTGGTAAATACGGCAATATTTACTGACAGGTGGATGCCCAGGGGAGATAGGTTTGGTGGTGGGGAGGGTGTGGAAGATAATAATTTGTGTTTAAGCATGCTCATTTTCTTATATTTTTGACACCCAAACAGAAATGGAGTTTGATGCTTACGGGGAAAGCTTGAAGCCAAGTGGAAGGATTGGATAAGGATCTGACCATAGCCAATCCCAGCCTGTAGAAAATTTCATGAGGAATTAAAGACTGATATTTCTTTACAGGTTTGGTTCTTAAGTCTCACAGAAATAAGTGGAAAATTGACACTAGGGATGATGGCTTGTGGCTGTAACAAAATACCTGAGAAAAATAACTTAAGGACAGAAATATTTATTTTTAGCTCACAGCTTCTGAGGTTTCAGTCCCTGATCACTTGGGTCCAATGATTCTGGACCTCTGATGAGCAGAAAGAGATGGAGGAAGGGGCTGCAGATGCATCTAATCCCCAAGACCACATCCTCAAGGACTCACTCCCTCCATCCAGATCTCACCTCCTACAATAATCACCACCTTCAATAGTTCATTCAGCTATGAACCCAACAATGGATTAATCCATTCCTGGGGCCAGAATCCTCCTGATATAATCACTTTCCAAGAGCCAAAGCCTTTGGGGGACATTCCAGATCCAATGCATGACATCTTGACACCTGATTTGTTTCAGATTCAGATTGTTTTTCTTTCAGATTTTAGGAAGGTCCTATACTGCATACACCAAGTATCAGTGACTAGGCGGAAATCTTACACATGACTATTTCTGCAATAAAACACATGGATATTCACATTAAGCAGGATAAATAAAGAACATAAACAGCCCCAAAGTTGGAACATTCAGATTTTGTTGCTATATGAGTTTGGGTTTTATCATTTTAATCACTTTGCTTCTGGAATTAGGCATTGCAGAGAAGCAAGTGTGTATCTTTAATAATAGAAAACATTAGTGTAGCTAATGAATAGACCCAGGCCCAAAAAATTAAAAAGCCATTAAAAAAACAGGATAAGGAGAGCATCCAAGAAATATACGAGGTTGGAGAATAAATTTTTAATGTGTCCTTAACATAAAAATAAAAGAAATAGGCTTTTTAGAAGAGATCTGGAGACACATTCTGTTTTCCTGCGAGAGGAAGGTTAATGCAATAAATCTAAGGCAAGCACTGCAGCCAGTCTGAATCTGTGCTAGAAAAAAAAAATGATAGTAAGTTTACAAAAACATGCAGTTTTCTTTAATCCATAGTGTAAATAATTTTATACATAAAAACCAAATCTCTTTAAGCTAAATTTTAACTCCATTCATGAAATCTAGAATTATTGCCTAGATAAAGGGTGAAAGCTCATATAAGATACACAATCTATTATTACAGCAGCGATGACAAGACTATATAACAGCCAATATCAACTCATCCTTTTAAGAAAATGATAAACCTAAGACAATCAATGAATTTTATTTCTGAAAAAGTAACTGATACAGAACACACCAGAGAGGCCACACTCATCAAGAATATAATCGTGATTCAACTTATATTTTCCTAGAAGATATTATTAAAGTCTACCAATCACTTACCTATTTACTAAAAGCAAGAATGGATGATTGAACAAAGAAAAGGTCCCTTGGATGCTGAGGTAAGTGGAGAAACTCAGCTATCTGCAGAGGCATTTCATAATTCAAACGTGAGACCCTCGCTCTTGGCTATTTTATAACTTTCATGAAACTCCTCATAGTCTCCCCATCTCAGTATGGCCAGTCCTCTTGCATCTCGGAGTTCATGTTACTTCTGCTTTCTAGGACACCTACTTCATCACTCTGCAGCACTCCAAACATTCTCTTCAAGGCCTGTCTAAGCTCCATTCTGCAGTCCCTGGGGTCTGTGTCTCGTAGGTGAACACCCAATAATCATCTCTGGCTGGTCTGTGGGTTCCATCTCTTTAGCATTAACTTTGGTTCACCCTACAAAATTCCGTGCAATCAGAGTAGGCACTGAATTTATTAAATGGTGACTATTTGCAGGTCAGAGGGATGGAGGATGAAGGGAGAGCCATGATAAAGCCCTGCCCTCAAACACTTCTTGGATCAAAATGGCGGAAGGAACCAGATCCTCACAGTACCATGCATCCCAGTTTTAGTGCAACCATGTCCTAGACAAGTGCAGGGCTGGGAGAGACTACGGTCAGTGTGGTTGCTCAAGAAAGGCATCCTGGGAGAGGATGAATCCCACTCATTAATTCGGAAAACATTTGCTGATCTTCTGGCCTCTACATGGAAGAGTTAAACTCCATGGAATGCACTTATTTCCTAGAGCCATTATAACAAAGTACCTCACAAAGTAACTAAGCTCCTAGAGGCCAAAAGACAGAGCTGACCACAGGGCAGCTACCTCTACAAGCACTTGGGAAAGACCTGTTCCACGCCTGCCCACCTCCTAGCTTCTGGTGACCTCAGTGTTCCTTGGCTTGTAGATGTCTTACTTCCTCTTCATGGAGTGTTCTTTCCCTCCATGTGTGTCCATCTTTGTGTTCAAATGTCTTCATTTTAGGAGGAGTCATATTGGATTAAGACCAACCCTATTGACCTCATTTTAATGTGGTTGTAAATATCCAATTTCAAAATAAAGTCAGCTTTCAACATACTGTAGGTTAGAATTCCAGCATGTGTTTTGGAGAAGCACAAGTCAACCCAAACCAGAGATGCAGAAAGACACGACGAGTTCAGAGGACGCTCATGCTGTGATGTGGCTTCAGGAAAGGAAACCAGTCACTCCAGAGAAGCTCAGCTCAGCCCAAGGGGATGGTAGGTGGGGACTGGCATTTGGTGCTACTTACACTATTTTGGATTAATAAGGACCTTATTCTTCACATTATTTCTCCCTAAGCATATTACCTTTTAGAATAAGATTTTTTTAAAAAAAGGAAACAGGGAAAGAAGGGAGAGGAGACAGATGGTGTTGGTTTTAGAATATCTCTTTTATAGGGAAACCGTCCTCAACCTTTTAAATAGCCTTCATCAATGCAGAGCAAGATTTCAAACACATCTGAGTTACTTCCAAACATTAGGTACCAAATTATTTTTGCAATACATTTCAATTAGTTAAATACACAATAAATTAAATATTCACAAAATTAAAACAAAAATTATTCCTCCAAAAAGGCTTTGAGACATAATCACCAATAGAAATGCCACCACCGTGAGGAAATTCAAAGTCTTCTGGAGGATCTCACTGAGATCTACAGCCTGGAATTTCTCAATGTATCTACATAATAAAGAAAACACGATTTTTCAAGTTCAAAGCCTGTGTTCTTGGACCTGTCCTACATAGAGAATCTGCTCATTTATTAAATTTTAAAACTTCAGTATCTTTCAGATGCATGGGATTAAATCAGAGAAAATGAAAGAATAAATTCAATATACTAATGTGAAATCATGCAGAGGCAATGCTAAAATATATTATTCAACAAAACAAGGAAAATTACATAGGATTTGTATTATTCTTAATCTTCCACACTACTTAAGGATATAGTAACAAGAGGCTCTTTCAATATTTTCTTTGAAATGGGCAACTTGCTTTCACATAAAATTTTTTTTCAAAGTAATTCTTAAAATCCTTTTTCTCAATAGAAGTATCTTTTGCAAATATCTTTCCCCATTCTGTAGGTTATCTCTTCACTGTTCACTGCTTCCTGTGTTGTATGGAAGCTTCTTAGTCATAATCTGATTTTTCTACTTGTAGTTTTGTTGGTTGTGATTTTGGAGTTTTCTCCAAAATATCCTTGCCCAAACTAATACCCTGATTTAGTTACTACTCAGTGCATACATGTATCTAACAGACTGTACTTCCTATATGTGTAATTGTTATGTGTCAATTGAAAACAAAATAAAAAGTGTACATGAAGACTGTTTCTCTTTACAGGTTTGCAGCAATGAGTAGTGATTCTAATTATTGGAAAACATACCCAGATGCTCTCTTCTCGTCGATATTGCTTCCAGTTCCTCCCACTGTCACTGAACATCAGGAGGTAGCTGGTCACCCAGTCGGAGCTCCCGTATCCACCCTGGGTGGCCACAGCGGTGACCTCCATTCTCTCTCCAAGGTCAATCTGCAGCCATTGGTATTTATTTGACACAAGTGGGGTCCATCCACCAGCTCCTTTTTTGAGGCAGAAAAAAGAAGGAGAATGGTAAGGAGGAGGAGGAAATAACTTAGCATATCTGTTCCTGGAGTAGCAAACAGTCAGCTTAGAAGTATACATAAACTTGAGAAAATCATAGATTCGTGTTAGAAAAAAAGAAACTGAACGAGGAAGGACCCTACATTCTCCTCACATTTAGCCAGATGACTCCTGCCATTCAGAGGGTCCCACTGAGTGGAGGAAGTGTCTGATGTCATGTGGGCAGCCAGTTCATCATTCCCGTCATTCCTGGGGGACCAGTTTTGTCCTTTGTCAAACACAAGAGACTAAATTCCTACAGTAAGGCACAGTATTGAGCATTAAGTAAATGAAAATAGTCAAAACACAGTCCTTGCGCTCAGACTGCCTACAGTCGAGGCAGACACTAGTTCACGGGGCTGGTGGCTGGGCTCTGGGGTGAAGCACCTGTTTTGCATTCAAGAGGCCCCAAGTTAGATCTTCAGTGTCCCAAAAAATAAAAGGGATTTCAAACTACAGCGTACTTGTGAACAGATCTCATTTATACATGGAATTTAAAGAAGTGGATCTCAGAGGTAGAGAATAGAACAGGGTCACCAGGGACTGAGGGTATGTGATGGAGAGACAATGGTAAAACCTGAAAATTAAAAATGAATGAACAGGTCCAGAGGAGGGAGTGGAGGAGGGAGTCCCCGGCAGGGCTGTGGGCTCTCTGGCTGTAGCACAGGGAGTTGGGGAGAGCCCCACAGAGTGCCTGTGTCTTAGACAATGAGAAGTCTGCCAAGTATCATGAATCAAGCACAGAGTCTGCTGGGCACAGAGTCAAGATTCTGCTCTTTTTGTTTTGACAAAGGTCACACGGGAACCAAGAATAGCAATGGCTGGTGAGGTCTTATTGATGCTTGTCATTTTTCTGGTCAAATAAATAAAATGGGAGATATTTCTGAACTACTGTTTCTTTAGTAATCAACATTCTGGACACTGCTATTTTCTAACTCGGGGTACGTGTCTTTTTATTAGGGATTATTTTTGTAACTATACCCTAATTTGTAAAATATTCAGTACCATGTCCAGCATAATGTAAAGGTTCAAAAAAGCTTGTTATTGTTGACATAACTGGGAAAAGAAATGAATGAGGGGATGATATTACACCATTATATGATGGGATGTAGGAGTGCAGAGAACTGTATTTATAGGCACCTCTCTGAATTGATAAGCACAATTTAAATACTATGTGCTTATGAGCTCAAATTTTACAGATTCTTTAGAATTCAGGTTCTAAGATTTCTTTTCTTTTTCTTTCTTTTTTTTATCAATCTATGTTCAAAATATTTTCCCTTTGAATGTACCATAAGCACAAACCTTTTTGATCCAGACTCTGAAGATATATATGTATATATATGTATATATATGCACACACATATATTTATACATATACTTACAGATACTGATAGATAGATGGTAGACGGATGGATGGATAGATAGATAGATATGGGGGGGGGAGTTGCTTTGCTTTTTATTGCTCTATACTTTAACTTGAAGATCCTGGGAGGTAGCCAAGCATGGTGGTACACACCTGTAATCCCAGCAGCTCTGGAGGCTGAGGCAGGAGGATCAAAGCAAGCCTCAGCAAAAGTGAGGCCTTAAGCAACTCAGTGAGAACCTTTTCTAAATAAAATCCAGGTAAGCTGCTTATCTCCTAAGGCTACCTTTGGAATTAAATGACAAAATTCCTGTAAAGTGAACTCTGTGCCTGACCCAAAGCTCTCAATGGTTAAAAATTGAGAGATGTTTCACAAGAGTGGAAATGGGTAGGTAGTGCTCTCTGACTGCCTGAAAAGTGAAGTATGCTGGGAGGATCAGGAGTGGGGAAGAAACCACGGGAGCAGTTTCCACTGAGGTGCACATAAGGTGTCTCCCAAATCCTTGCACGGTCTCTGGCAGGGACAAACGTAAATTGTGCTGCAGATCATCCAAGATTCAATCTTCCCTCATGTAAAAGAGCATGCTGTGTGAATGGAGGATGATCCCCATGTGCAGAAGGACACCTACTGTGCCCACCTCCTACCTGTGAGTGTCAGAAAAGTAGGGGAGACTTCAGTGGCCCAATATGCAGAGTTGGCCACCATTAAGTCACTGTCTTCTAGACAACATCCCAGACTCTTTTATTGGGGGAGATTGGGGATGGGTTCTGGGGATGGAACTCAGGAGCACTCAACCACTACCCTTTTTTATTTTGAGACAAGGTCTCCCTAAATTGCTAAGTCTCCCTAAGTTGAACTTGTGATCCTCCTGCCTCAGCCTCCTGAGCTGCTGGGATAACAAACTCTTAATAGCATATTATTTTGAAGGTGCTGATGGGACATGAAGGTCCTATGTAGATGCACAAAGGATGTAATGTAGGTTTGGAGTGGAGTCGGGTACTCCGGAAGTGCAGGCAGTGTGACACTCCATCCTCCTGGTCAGACAAGGCCCAGGATCCTACAGCGGATGCACAGTAAGAGTGAGGGTTTATCTGTTGGCACTTTCCTGTTGAGATCTACCAGATCCCTGAGGTTGGGGTTTGGATGGGGAACAACACCAGAAAGCTCCTGTATTGAAACATCGTCCCTATTATGGATTAGATAGGATGTGTCCCTCCAAAGCTCAGGTGTGAGACAATGCAATAACTTTCAGAGGTGAAACGATTAGAAGGAGAGCCTTAACCTAATCAGTGCATTGACCCTCTGATGTGGATTAGCTGTGTGGTAACTGTACGAGGTAGAGAGTGGCTAGAGGAGGTAGGCGATCAACCCAATGGATTAATAGTCCTGCAATGAATTCATTGTTAGATACTTTGTTCACTATGATGAGAAGCTAACATACCACTCTCCCAAGTCCACGTAAAGTTTAATAACTGTGAAATCCTTCCACGGTTCACCTAACTAACAACAAAGAGTCCCAAAGGTACAACACTACTGAAACTGCATTTCTTTTCCTGTTTTTTAATTTTTTTAAACAATTGTTTCACAGAAGAGTTGGAAAAAGGCGAAAGAGATGCTATTAACCAATCCCTCTCCCCAATATTATTGTACATTGGGAATTTTATACATTTCACTTGAGACCTCAGAGGAACTATTAAGTATTTTGGATTTTCCCCCTCATCATTAGCTAGCATTGATGGTATAGTCCATGTTCTTTGACTGTATATTTTTGTTAAAAAAAAAAAAATTCTGTATTTTCATTCCCTCTCACCCCAGGTCCAGAAAAGTAATCAACACAGAAACACATGTGGAGAAGGAGAATGAGAGAAAATGAATCAGCCTGTTCCTGGTGTGCTGCCCTGGGATCATGAGTTATCATTAGAAGAAAGAGAAACCCTGGTCATCCCTGTCCTCTGTCACTCACAGTTTGCTAGATTGTTTTAATAAGGGCACTCCTGCTCACAGACAGCAATACATTCCAGTTACTCCATTGTACCTGTGCCAAGAGGCAGTATTCATATGCAAATCAGCCATCCCGTTCAGCCACTATGGATAAAGTAATGAACCCTGGAATTAGAAGAATTGCACCAGGTGTGGCAGCCTCAGGAAACCTGCAATCCCAGCTGGGCTTCAAGGATGTGTTGCTTTGCAGGTGACTTAATTACACACTGAATAGTCATGGTGGGAAATAGAAAATCACTGTCCCACGGCGCTGGTCTAGTTGCTTTCATTAAAGGCAGCTTTGGTGGTTGGTAATGAAGGCCACACTGGAGTCATGGAAAAAGAAAGTTGGCTGACTCTACCAACGGGTGTGTGGCAATTGCCCCGTCATCTGTCTCTGGAACAAAGTTGTCCTTTGTTGTTTAATTAATTAGTTGTCTTTTGTTGTTTAATTAATTATTTTTTTGGCATTGTAGTTGTTTTTGTTTAAAACTGTAGAGCCTGGAGTGCGGCTCTGTGGTAGAGAACTGGCCTGGCATGCACATTCTTCCCCCTCACCACACACACAAATAATAAAACATTAAAAGGACAACACTAACCACTCTCATAGGATTGCAAGGAGAACCACGGAGTCATTGATGCTAAAGCACTTTGGAACTGAAAATTTTTATACAAATGTGATGTCATATTCAATTTTTGTTTTCTTTAAGTTAAAACTAATGAAAGTGTTTGTGCAAACGGTAGAGTCAAGATTACACACTGAACAATTCCACTTAACCTGGGAGCATCTTTGCATAGTCTATTTGATGGTCACTAAAGCTAAAGACACCTAAAAGGCACTGGGCATGTGCCCCCAGCTCATCCCCTAAGCTTATCACTGGCTCCACTCCTCCTCTTCACCCTCCTCCCTCCCCTGCATTCTGGCAGGACAATGCATCTGAGCTAACTGAGGTGTCACAAAACACTCAATGGAACTATAGGCAGAGAGCTCAGCCTGTAGTCGATCCTTAGAACCTGTGATGATCAGAACGTCATCCCACCCATTCATTAGGTATGTTCTGACAGGTGCATTTCACTACCTGAATGAGACTAAGCAAAGTCCAGGAACTAAAGATTTCCCTCCTGATTGCTATCATGTGATGAACAGCAGAGGCTGCTTTTTAAAGGGCAGTTATTTTGTGAAGACTGACTTGGGGACCACAGCAGGAATGCTGAGCTTCGCTACCATATTGTTTCTATATGAGCACATGACTTGGCACTTGTTGCATCCACGATTTTCTCCATTGTTACACCTCAGAGCTCTGAGGAAATGTTTGAAATTTTGCCACTTATTTTGCAATGGAAATGGAAAGAAGAGAAATGAAAAACAGTGAGGCATGCATTGTGTGCTGAGAATGCTACTAGGTATTTCCATCCACATTATCATTTTTTTTATTTCTAAAAGCATCCAGTGATTCAGCTTTATTGCATCCATTTTACTAATGAGAAAATAATAAACAATTAATTTACATACACGTAAAGATATTATTTTAAAAATCAGCTCCTCTTTCATTTTTTAATCTCATCCAGGAACATATTCACATGACTTATCAATC